AAGTTTGAAATTATGATAACTTACAAGCCTGATTTTACAGATATCTAACAGCACATTTATAATAGGACAAAGTGTTGTCACGAGTATTAAAGTAATACAAGTAATTATGTTACATTATGTTAAACCGACAATGATCAAAATTAAATTTGAACTACAATCTGAATTAAAACGTTTAGTACCAGACATCATATAAACTTCAAGAGCAATTTTTTTAATACAATGAAAATACATAATCAGAATTTACCACTATGAGTTCATTCTATGTAGATAAATAGCGCAGAGAAAGCACACAAATATTTTGTTTACTTATAATACTCGATGTTCTTACATTACGATTACGATAGACTAAAGACCGAGACAAATTGTTTCTCCGAATCGCTGGTATTTACTCACGAGTCTACAGAGCGTCATAACCCAGAACAGCGTAATTTCTTAACTTGATCTTAAACTTCGAAATGGTATCTGTCTCAAGTTGTATACCGTAGCATAATTTAGCAACTGTGACATTAGAGTTCGGCTTTTACTTAGTTCTGAACTGAAGACGCAACTAACAGATAAGTTCCTAGTTGTTGAGGCCGCAGTATTAGGTCGAAGGTCGATGCTAACAAACTTAGTCAACCGCGGGAGACTGCATTAGACTAGATGCAGTGTCCCGGTTCACGGTGATGTAGGGTCAGAACTCACCTCTACTAAGCTAATTCACTTATTAACAACCAACAGTGGAAACACAGTCGAACTTCAACTCCGCTAAAAACTACGCCCTGTGTCGAGGTATATAAAACCATTGCCATTATGTATGCTGAAATGTAATTGGGTTTCATGGGACTGGCACAGAGTAACTATGCAAGGGGAGCGGATTTTGTACTTAACTCAATAACATTTTTCGTATAAAAGAATTAAAAGGGCACACGTGCCTGTTGTCTCTATAAGATAAATACGTAATTTGGTAAATATAAATTCACTTAACAATCAGAAAATTCTTACGAATACACATTTTAAAATAGTACATTTCGTTATGATAATATCAAAATTTCAGGAGACAGGAAGACATTTTAATGGTAATATAATTGATTAACAACATAGAATAAAGATTTAGTTAGTTATCCAGTGAAAATCTATTAAAACCTTTGAAGCATGTTAAAATATATTTAAGAATTCAGTACGTACCGCGAAGAAAACTTCACACTTTACCATTACAGAGATGATATGGCTAATGGTGTTTAAGGAAATAATCCCGGTTTACACGGAGAATCAAACGAGACTCATAAACACAAATTAAAGAATTACTGATTGTTAAAGCAGTTAGTGAAAAAATTACCACTAAGGGTTAACTTGATGGGTCCTTCCGAAATTCTGCGTTCCATGAACGAAATTACTATCACTATACGATTTGATGCTGTTTTATTCTAAATTCCTATTACTAGAGTGAGAGAAATTTACCCCAGATCTCAGAGCTTTAAATCACAGCGTAGATCAGTAACGCGGGGCTCGAAGGGATGATGTTATCTGAATGAATACTATAAATATTTTGTTACAGATCTAAGAAAGTTATTAAAACGGGAGCAGTAGTCACTACAACACAATCGAAGCTATAAAATGGCTGCTAATAATTAAGAAAAAAGCAAGGAATGGAATTAAATGTCACTTCCAACTTCATTGTAATCGATTGTGAAGACGATATACGACAGATCACTTAAGACTGCATCGCCTTCAAGTAGAGAGACTGGTCTACCTGAACTTCTACTCTCTCTCAAGATGGTGGGAAGTTCAATTTAATTTACTATTCTACTTACTTACTGTCTGGATCTGTTTTGTTTTGTGTGCTGCTCGTCTTGTCATTTTCAATCTAGTGGAAACTTCAAATCTTTACTGAGAAAAGCCTTTTTCTCTGTATATGGAATTCACTCTCGTAGAATCAAATAGGTGGGACATAAACCACGACTTGAAAACAACATTAAAACTCACATACACGATCTGAAGTGGGAGGGGGGGGGGGTTCTTGTAACGCGTAGTTTTGTACTTACAAGAAGGCACATCTGTAATCGAAACACGGAATTGACCTTGGACTTTCTGCTTTTCGAATACACATTCATTTTATTTTAAACGCGGTATGCAGAATGATCAAGAATTTCCTGCACAGCAGAAAACCATACATCTACTTACAAAAAGTATTAAACACAGCACCACTTTGCATTAAACGCCACAAAAAGAAGAAGAAGTCATAAATCAGTGCTACCAACCTAGTAGAAAATTACCATGTTGCCAATCTCTGCATGTTGTAAATAATATTCTCGGATAACATTAGCGTAGATATGACCCGTGTGATGCATAAAAATTGTTCCCATCTGTACCCGCAGCAAATAAATAATGACTGATATATGTAAGATCATAGGAAATGAATTTGGATGATAGATGCACTGAAACGTTTAGACTGCGTATTTCAACTTCTGTTCATTTCAAAATAACGACGCACTGAAATATCGGTATTCTGCCATGACCGAGTCTCTCATCTCTAACGACACACTTTCCTAACCACGTTCTAAACGGTAGGGATACGAAACTTTTCTTACTGCACACACAGAGATAAGGTCTTATAGTCAACTTCAATGTATGCTGTGTGCTCAAAGAACGCCTTGCAAGACAAAAGAAAGAACTGTTCTTTCATACGGATCAAATGCCTGAACGCAAAAGAAGGATGACTGAAATTAATGAAATGTTTTCTTTGAGAGCAGTCGACGAGTTACCATCGTGGATCGAAAGAAGAGTTAATACATCAGGAACTAATTACAGACATATAATACTGCAGCTAGAATTTACGACCAACTCTGTGGAGCAGAATCCTTATTGAAAATTTAATAATCTCTCAACTGGTTTATGAATTTCCGTGCTCAAATAATCCAATTTCTGTACACACCCGAGCCCGCTGAATCCACTCCACTATCTCGAATCGTACTCCATTTTAGTAGTGCCTTCCCATCTATGGGATGTAGTGAGAAATTTAAGCCGTTCTCATGTTTGTATCGATAGTATGAAAATAACTCACGTTAATATATATTCAAGTGGAAATGAGAAATTTCTATATTCGTCAGGCGTCTGTGTGAGGACTGATGTTCCTCTAACACTCTCATTCAATCAATGGATCTTGTGAACGCAAGACGAACAAGCAATGTTAACCACAATAGCTGGAATTAGACACGCCTGTAGGATTATTTAGCACGTGTTAATATTTCATCAAAACCACTCTCTTGACACATCACTTAATATACTGAAACTTGGCCAGTGTTTTAGTCTTCCCATATATTACCATAAAGTAAGATTTCGTTGGAATTTTGCCAATCGCAAATGTTATTATTCGAATATATTCTGACAATATCTAACATAATATTTATAAAATAATTATAATTCGCTCTACGGTATTAAGTTACAACGCTTCGATGCAACTTAAACTGAGAGCAGACACATGTGGACTTATAATTAGGTCATTACAAAATTCTGAAAAAAAAGTCTCTTGTCTACAAAATCCAAGCGCATGTCCACACATGTCTTTGAGAATTATTCTTGCAACTAAACGTGCCCCATTTATTTGTCAGTCCTTCGCTAAATCCCAGAGGACCACCGAATGTCACCATAATTGTCGTTTCTTCCATGTGCGACTCCAGAACGAGGCAAGTCGTGTGACATGCGACCACGTAGAATAATGTGCCCATATACGAACTGTAGGCCATGGTAACTAATCAATAAACAGAAAGGTCACAGAACAGAAACACAGGAAAAGGAGCTAAACCTGTTTACATTCTGTGGGTATTAAACATAATCCCACTGTGCAATGTAACACTTGGGACTTGTACTTGTGTAATTTAGCGACGCTACGATACAAGATTTCTAATTAATGGATGAACACCCATCAGCAAAAACCAAAATACTACTATTGTATGTCTTAAAGGTCTGATGTTCGTTAAGCCAATGATTTACATCCGATATATCTAAACCCAAAACTAGCTTTTCTTGTCGACTGTGGGTTTCTGGTATCTGACGCAGCGTATTTTCTTAAGCGATTATCGACGTTTAGGACGACGTTACAAACATGCACCTATTAATCTTCTCTGTCTGTCTATATCTCACAACGGATTCTCACGAGATTTGGTAGTAGACATTTTCAATGAAACTGTTATAAAGGCTTCAACTTCATTTAAAATCACAGAACAATAACGGGAATTGTATACGAAGATCTACTTAAGTTTAAGAAACCCCCCGGCGGTCACGTGGCATGCCCATCCAAATGGCATTGACCCGAAACAATTCTGATGATTCACGAAGGCCAATGTCCAGAATTGTTTCGCTAAGCATGCATTTCCTAACTTGTTTAAAAACATGATAAAGTTCTACGAGCATATAGATTTACATTGTCTTATGGTTTCTCAGACGTAAAGAGAGGCTTTAAAGACAGATTATAGGCAGGTATAGTTTATGTTTATTACGAGTATTTGTTTATTTCGGGTAGATACCACGTGGAAGACCGAGGTATATATGGGATGACACTATTAAAAAGCGTGCTTCAAAGTAGAATATTTGGATATGACGTAGATTAATCTCTTCTGAGATAAATACTATTGTAGATAGCAGGTAACAAAGACTAGAACCGAATCAATTACCTTCTGAACGCATGTATGTAGCAATATTGCTCCATAAACCTGCTAAAATGCTCAGTAAAAGAATTCCTTCTTTGATATTACGAATATTGTAGTTCCCTATTTTGATATACGAAGATTTAAAGCCGGATTATTTCTTAGAGATAAAAACTGTTCTACCTACTACTTCCAGCAAAGGGCGTAATGAAATTGATGTGTTAGAGCAATTTTTGAATTTCTGACAGTAGAGACGTTCTATGTCTTGTCGTCCTGACGGAAGGTTTTTCCCCCCCCCCCCCCCCACGCATGCCCGGAAAAGACCCAGCATGAAGCTGGTTTGCGCTTTGCCGTCTACGTTAGTCAGTTCCCGCGCGGTTGCGGACAACAGCGTTGTGACAGCAGTGGAGTTCGCTTCGCTTGCCATGCGTCGTTTATACGTGTAACTTCTTATTTTCCGTCTAGCTACTGGACAACGTTACAATGGTTACGGATATCACCAGTGACGAAGACCAAGAGCCTCAAAGCAAAAATCTGACCGTAAATAAAAGTCCTTTAAACTTTATCTCCAAGTCACCGTGTAGAAGAACAAATACTTCACACGTGTCCTTCACGTCGAATATCAGTTTGGTGTACGCGTGTCTCGTGTGGCTGTTGCTGACGGAGTTGGTCCTTTCATACTGTCTGTACACGTACATAGCACATGTGGACCGAGAGTGCACTTCGGCCATCGCCACTCTGGCGCAACAGTCAACAATACCAGCCTCTGGTGCGGGGCAAACAAATCCTTTCCAAGATTTTGAATTCTATCGCCGAAGGAAACGCGGTGCAAGATCGCCTCCGCCTACAGTAATGGAAGACAATACCGTGGACCCTTCTGGCATGGCTGGTGTCGAGGGTGCCAATGTGGAGTTCTTCAACCCGAAATTGCGTCAGGAACTGGAGGAGAAGGAGAATAGAAATGGAGGTGGAAAGAAAGGTAGTAACAATGCCGGGTCCGGCGCTACATCAACGGAAGGAGAGTCTGCAAACAACCCTTGGGTCTGGCTTACATCATACTCCAGGATTCCGGTAAGTAGACATTCTCTACGAATTCATCGGTTGTCAGTCATTGTTGACAGGAAGGAAATAATTACCTATAATTATTCATAAATGTCACGGGGGAATTATATATAATAGCCGGTTATTATTCATAATTGTCAGGGGGAATTATACATAATTGCCGGTTATTATTCATAATTGTCAAGGGGAATTATATATGATCGCCGGTTATTATTCATAATTGTCAGGGGGAATTATATATAATCGCCGGCTATTATTCATAATTGTCACGGGGAATTATATATAATCGCCGGGTAATATTCATAATTGTCAGAGGGGAATTATATACAATTAACAGTTAATAACGATTAAAATAACAATGGAATGATATGTTGCGGGGGGGATTGAAAGACGGAGGAAGTATTGATGCTCCCCGAGAGATACAAGTGGAATACAAGACCAAAAGAAACCCTTGGGTCTGACTTACGTCAAAGATGGTTCAGAAGCCTATAAACAATGGAAGAGGATGTTAGGCTAAGTATTAAACAGGGGAAATTCTCTAGTGCGACGAGGTACGCGAATCTTGAAAACGGGGTTGCCTCCATTTTATGAATAATCTACCGATGCTGCATCGACATTACTGTTTACTAAATCATTCAGAATGTTCTCTTGCAGAGACTAATTTTTGGATGGTTACGGACGAGCGATTAACATTCGTGTATTGTGTTCGGGAAATGTCTGGTTCAAATCGCAGCTAGAAGACCGGCTATCTTGACAGGTTTATCGTGCATTTCCTTTGTCCCTCCAGGAAAATAATGAAATTCTAAGTTACGTAGACATTGTCCGCTTCCTTCCATATCACCTTCATTTAATTAATCATAAAATAAATACTACATATTTTGAGCTACTGATAGCTTCGTTAAATAAACCAACTCACGAAGGTACGTCACACAAGAAAGAGCATGAAGATTTCTGTCTTATGGGTTGTTGCGCTGTGTAGCCTGGTCGATGTTAACCAACGTTTCAGAGGTCATACTGCATCCGTCATCAGGGCGATGATTATGGTTATAATTATAATATGAGGTGAAAATTTCGCGGAATACCGGTTGTTCGTCACTGCAATATACATACAGGTAATTGCAATCAATAATTTTTATTTTAAACGTGTTCTAATACACGTCATATCCAATGACATGCAGAGAAGCGTATTTGTCAATGTGTGACATGCGATATATATTGACAGATTAATTTTAAACAAACGGATCATTACCTGCAATTGATGAACATCAATACCAATATGGAATCCATAATATCAAAGTTCACATTTACATAACGTGTACTCCAGTAGTAAGCCATTTTACTCCTGTTAATTACATTATCCTAGCTATTCGCAATTTCTCCCCCATGAACTTTAGCGTGTAGACTTATCGAATTTACAGATACTAACAACAGAAGAGTTGACAATGAAGTACACGATGGTAAGAAGGGATATTAAGTAATATTTCTGTCACAAACACGCACAAATACACAAAAGAACAACACGAAGGGATGAAAAACTATAGCAGAACAATTAATGGTAACAAGATGCATTAAGAATGATGGTTGAAAACACGTGACGAAATGTAAACAAGACAGTTATAAAAGATTTCGTTAACATACATGGATACATATCATAAACACGTATGTTTCGAACGCATTATCGTCTACATGTTTACTTTCACATGGAAACGAATTCGCTTACAAATTTTCGTTCATACATACATCCATATTTGCTATTAATTCTCGCAGGCATTTTTGAGACTGAAGTCCTGATGCATATTTCTGAGCAACTTACTTCGATTGCATGTTCCAAGCGAGTAATCTCTTTAAAGACAAGAACATCGCTGACAGCTTTCCCATGTCGCTTTCTCCCTAGTTTTCTATACAATATAACCACTCACTGTTAAATATTCCTCACAGGGAGCGACACTGCCGTTTAAAATCGATCTAGCACCTTTAAACAGTCTCATGATTAAATCTTATTATTTGCAGCATCGATTGGCTATAAATAATGAAGTTTACTGGTACCATGCAGGGCATATAGATAAGTCTTTAAGGTCTGTTATAAACTTCATGAATAAGGGTCATACTGCGAATGCAATGTATGAGTGTTTATTAAAAATATGTTCCAACTAATAGACGCATCTGTTATCCGTATATAGGAAAGCTGTGTACATTTATGCTGAACGTTAATAAAGTTTAAGCTTTAGGCAAAATAAATTCATTTTCATAAATTCCTCAAGGTTTATGAAAAGGTTTATAGGTATAAGATAGTTTCCACAATATTTTAAGAGTACAAATGATTATATAATTTTAAATATATACATTTAAACAATAACTTAACGAAAGTTGCATCGTTCAATATATTATAATTCACTATGGGACTCAGGCGACTAGGAACTGACTTCTGTCCAGTTCCTGGTGACTTCGAGTGAGATTTGTGGTGGACGAACCAACGCCAGAGTTCAGCAAAAAATTATTATCAGGATTGCTTATCAGATTATTTAACGACGCACTTTAAAGTGCATTGGTTTTACAGTGTCAGGTTATCTTTAATCATAAAGAAGAAAATCAATCAATTGTCACCAATTTTAACTTACCATCGCAGATTTTCGAAAGCAGCCACAAAAATATTCATTAAGGACAACTGGTTTGGGTGTCCGGAATTGAACCCGTGATAACCCGTATATTAAATAGGAACATTAACAGCTCAACTGTGACGTATTCCCCAGTCCTCATAAATTATGAGTATGCATTTCATTGGTAAGCAGAAATTGTGGGGCTTCATGGTGCTGTGGACTCTGCATTGCTACCTCTCTCCAGTCCGACCCGATATACAATTCAGCATCACCTCATCATCCAATTAAACAGTACATGGCCTACGTGCCGTCTGTACAAACTGGTTAGGTAGTAGACCAATTGAAATGTCTGGTATGCCTCGCGTCGTGAATTCAAAACACGCGTGTATATATTTTACTTTTTGTCTCTTTAATATTTAATTTTTTTAAAATTATGTACCCCGTTGGTGTAGGGGTAAGAATCTCTGTTAGTTAAGAAACCTGCTAAAATCTCTATAGAAGACTGTTTGCTTATCTTAACCGTGAATTTTCGTGGTTTCTTTGTTTCTTGAAGACAAATAAAGGGTAGTATCTTTGGAGGCAATGGATGGCCTCTTCACATTCGTCTAAATCTAAGATTCACAATTAATCCGGAATTTCTCATTCGATGGTACATAATCCGAGCAGTTGAAGTGGCGTTGTTAAATAACAGAAAACAAACATAGGCCTTCTATGTTATCTTGTGCAGATAAATATTCTGAGTAGAAGGAACTAATTGTATGACCGTGCCATTAAACACATTTTAATTAACCTCTTTATATACTATGTAAGCTCAATACATTTATTAGATCTAATTGGCTGTATTAAGCCGATTTTTTAAACCTTGAATAACAGAAGTGTTCTTTAAAAACAATCGATGGAATCACTTGTAATCTGAAACGAAATTATCTAAGTTAGATTTTGTACTGATTACATTTGTCAATGAGTACGATACGAATGAACTGCAACCGCAGCGACGTTTATACCTGGATGTTCTGCTTCCCCATTAGAAACTTTAATTGGTGGATCAATGCGAATCCTTTTGGTGGTAAGAATAGTGATTGAGTAAAAGCCAACAGCTTTATCTGGTTGAAAAGGGGTATTAGTCAAGTCACGGTAGTGGCATTGGCTGTTAGCAACGTCTCAAGCCCTCGTCATTCTGGTATTCAACGAAGAACTTCATTCTCCCACTTCATTATCGATGCCCTTTATTCGGCTCAGATTGGTTTCAGGAGAAACTACTTCGTAACTTTTACATTCGCTTTCTTAATTTGTTGTAGTCTGACGTCGCCTTTCTCTGATCGACTTTCGTAACTATCAGAAGACGCATCTAATAAAATATTAATCTATGCTAATTCTGAAAAGTATATTACATTGAAAATTTAATTGTTTTGAAACTTAAACTAAATCAGATGGCTTCTGACAGCGTCCACAGTTCTCAGACGAAACACATTTCTTTCTCCAAACTCATCCCTTTTTATCCCTCTACTTATTTCCCTCTTTACTGTTTTTTCTCACTGCTTCTTGTTTTATTTCTTATTTCTTATCATTCTTAGTGTGTTTTCTGAACTATGTTCCAGTGGTTGGGGCAGGTCTTTTAAAAATTAAAAATTTTCCAATTTATTTATTAAGAAAGGAATCATATTACTTGGACGATAGATTACCCATTCGTAAGGTATCAACAGGGCAACACTGCAAGGCACTACGGTCACTCATTCCTCGAGCGAAATTCGAACCCGCGGTCCCATTGATCGGACTTCGGTCTTCGGGTCCCTATACCATTCTTTCACGGAATCGGCTCCCCATACATGCACTGCCTTAAATTATTTCCCGCTTTATTTTGGTCTCTTCCGAGTCTTATATGGCACGCAAGATCCATTCCATCTATAAATGATCAAATACTGGGTGACATGGACACAAGAAGTTGAATTTCACTTCAACAAAATTCTGGTCTAGTAGACCAGAAATACATAAATATTCATACATATATATAAACTTTCAGAACAGTGTCTGTTAACTTGTGTATCACAAGTGAGAATAATGTCTTATTAAGTGTGAATGTTAGCTCATCCACATCTCAGAAATTTATCTACTAAATAAGCATAAATATAATGTAGCCCACAGTGTATCCTTTATAGTAAAAGTTGTCGGAAGAATTTAATTTTTCCGTAACGACAGAATGTCTTATTCAATTCAATTCAATTCTTTATTATTAGTGTGCTGTATCAACAGCCAGAAGGCCAATTACAGATACAACACAGAGATAAGCAAAACAAACAAAAAATTAACATTGTTCATAGAGCGGCTTTCCTCAGTATCTCTAGACTCACGTCGTCACAGAACCTTGAAGGGACCATGATTCTTTTCTTCCCGATCCTCATGATGTCACCATTT